TTCTTGTGCAAAATCTTGCATCAGAAGTTGTTTGCAGTTCGTGTGAACATGTAGAAAAAAGTAGAGAAAAGAATCCAATGGTACAGTATAGTCCAATCAACTTAACTGTGTAATAAACAAAAATGAGATGTACTCACATTTACCAGAGCTAATACAAGCTCTAGTGTAAAGGGCCTAGTGGTATAATCCCCACTTCTAGGATATATAAGTAGATGTAGTGGTCAGGTTTTGTAGCAGTATGGCAGTAATAAGACCCAAAAAGGTTAAACTGAACAGACAAAAAATAGTGTTCTCCGTATATTAAACTAGGAGTATAGAAAAGGTAAATCTTACTCACATTTTATAGAGCAACCTCACCACTCAACGAATAAGGCATAGGTGGTATAATCCACACTCTAGATTCTTTGGTGAGGTCTTCACTGGAATTGAAGAACAGGATACCAGGCAAACACAATAAAACAACATAAAATAATAAAATTAAGGAAAATAGCACAATTCTGTGTTAAACTAGCCAAAATTCCTGTATTAAAATTATATATATAATCCACAACACGTTTCACGACACTTTATCAAGTGGAAATAGATAGTCAGCCTGGCAGACAAGGACTTATATAAGAGATAACATACAAACCAATTTTTTTAAACTGGCGTCAAAAAGACGTTATCAACAAGTGACAGTGCAAGCCAATTCTGACCCAAGATTTTGCACAAGAATAATATCTTCCGTGATCTTGCCTGTTTCCTTGCAAGTTGTACTTTATATTTATTTTGGACATTATTGTGGATTTTTTTTTACCTTTTTAACTGCTATTTCCTATATTTTATAATAGTCCTTTTATACAATGTTTATAGATTTCAAAAGTATAAATATATTATTGGCACTACCTTTCTCGCTTTTTTCTATATACTATCAAGTATCAAGTAACTTTTAAGGGCTTTTTAGAATTAACCTGTACATTTTAAGTTCTGTACATTAGTATATATATACACTACCTTTCTCCCTTTTTTCTATATACTATCAAGTATCAAGTAACTTTTAAGGGCTTTTTAGAATTAACCTGTACATTTTAAGTTCTTTACATTAGTATATATATATATATATATATATATATATATATATGTGTGTGTACATTAACACAACAACAAATTTGGAGGAGATGAAATGGATAAAATAGAGAAATGGGTAGATTTACTAAACTCAAATTGCCAAGTGCATTTATAATTAATACTACATGGTAGAACTGAGCCTTTATATTTCCTTGTTTATAGAGATACTGCAGTAAAAATGCAGAAAAGATGTGCAAAATCTAAAATAGCTTTAAAAAAATGAATAAATAAATGTGATAATAAAAGAGAGGAAGAGAGCTATGATCATTTTGTGCAAAAGCTGCACAAATCCCTTGCGTGTCCATGTATGCACATATACACATAAACTGCCACACACACTATGATACACATACACACACAGCTACACACACTGACACACATGCAAATACACAGATACACACACTGACAGTGGCGTACACACAACCCATGGGGCCCTGGTGCGAAAACTGATCCGTGCCCCCCACCCCCCCGGGGCCGCAACACCTGGCGGCGGGCAGGGGTCGCAGGGCTGTGACCCCTGCGACCGCGGTATGTACGCCAGTGCCTGCAGATACACATACACTTAAAGGACCCCTACAGACACTCAGATCACATCAGCTCAATGAAGTGGTCTGGGTGCCAGGTCCCTCTAGTTTTAACCCTGCAGCTGAAAACAGCAGTTTCAGAGAAACTGCTAGGTTTCACTGAGGGTTAAAGGACCACTATAGTGCCAGGAAAACATACTCACTGACAGACACACACTCACTAACAGACACCAAACAGACTCACTAACAGACACCAAACAGACTCACTAACAGACACACACAAACTAACACACTCACTGACACACAAAAACTAACACTAACACACACACACTCTAACACTAGAACACACACACTCTAACACACACACACTCTAACACACACACACTCTAACACACACACTCTAACACTAACACACACACACATTTTTTTTTTTAAATGAATCCCCCCAGCCTCCCTACCTTTGGGAGTGCTGAGGGGATTCCCTGGGGTCCAGTGGTGCTGCTGGGCAGCCGGGCGGCTGTCAGGCTGGCTGGCGGGCGCGCAAGGGAGCACTCTTCCCTGAGTGCTCCCTGTTCAGCTCCCTCGCGCGCCGCGTACTGATGCCGGAGCCGAAATATGACATCATTTTCTGGCTCCGGCATCAGTGCGGTGCGCAAGGGAGCTGAACAGGGAGCACTCAGGGGAGAGTGCTCTCTCGCGCGCCCGCCATCCTGCCCCCCCGGTGACACCAGGGCCAGCCTCGGGGGGGCCCTGAGGTAGCCAGCTCCTGGGCCCTCCAGGAGAAGAGGCTGGCCACACTGGCATACATACCGGGTCGCAGGGCGGCCAGGCTTCCTGGTGGGCCGGCCCGGTCGCAGCCGCGACCCCAGCGATCCCGGTATGTACGCCACTGCACACTGACACAAATACAGATATAAAGGTACACATGTGTAGTGAATGAAGTGTCTGTTTGTGCAGTGGATGCAGTGTGTGTGTTTGTGTAGTGATGTCATATTTCGGCTCCGGCATCAGTATGCGGCGCGCGAGGGAGCTGAACAGGGAGCACTCAGGGGAGAGTGCTCTCTCGCGCGCCCGCCATCCTGCCCCCCCGGTGACACCAGGGCCAGCCTCGGGGGGGCCCTGAGGTAGCCAGCTCCTGGGCCCTCCAGGAGAAGAGGCTGGCCACACTGGCATACATACCGGGTCGCAGGGCGGCCAGGCTTCCTGGTGGGCCGGCCCGGTCGCAGCCGCGACCCCTGCGATCCCGGTATGTACGCCACTGCACACTGACACAAATACAGATATAAAGGTACACATGTGTAGTGAATGAAGTGTCTGTTTGTGCAGTGGATGCAGTGTGTGTGTTTGTGTAGTGATGTCATATTTCGGCTCCGGCATCAGTATGCGGCGCGCGAGGGAGCTGAACAGGGAGCACTCAGGGGAGAGTGCTCCCTTGCGCGCCTGCCAGCCAGCCAGATAGCCGCCTGGTGACCGGCTGCCCAGCAGCACCACTGGACCCCAGGGAATCCCCTCAGCACTCCCAAAGGTAGGGAGGCTGTGTAGTGGATGCAATGTTTGTTTCTGTTTGTGTAGTGGATACAGTGTGTGTGTGTGTGTATGTGTAGTGGATGCAGTGGATGTTTTTGTTTGTGTAGTGGATGCAGTGTCTGTGTTTGTGTAGTGGCTGCAGTGTGTGTAGTGGAAGCAGTGTGTGTCTATGTAGTGGATGCATTGTCTGTGTAGTGGATGTAGTGTCTGTGTTTGTGTAGTTGATGCAGTGTGTGTGTGTGTGAGTTTGTCTAGTGAACACAGTGTTTGTATCTATGTAGTGGATGCAGTGTCTGTGTGTGTGTAGTGGATGCAGTGTGTGTGTTTATATTCTGGTGTGTACTGGATGCAGTATATGTGTATTTGTGTAGTGGAAGCAGTAAGTGTTTGTCTGTGTAGTGTATGTAGTGTATGTGTGTTTGTGCAGAGGATGCAGTGTGTTTAACTGTGTTGTGGATGCAGTGTGTGTATTTATGTAGTGGATGCAGTATGTGCATTTGTGTAGGGGATGCAGTGTGTGTGTGTGTGTGTGTGTTTTTAGTGGTGTGTACTGGATGTAGTGTATGTGTATTTATAGTGGTTCATACTGGATGTAGTGTATGTGTGTTTGTATTGGTTGTACAGGATGTGGTGTATGTATGTTTGTAGTGGTGTGTACTGGATGTAGGGTATGTGTGTTTGTAGGGGTGTGTGTTTGTAGTGGTGTGTACTGGATGTAGTATATGTGTGTTTATAGTGGTGTGTGTTGTATGTATATATGTGTGTTTATAGTGGTGTGTATTGGATGTAGTGTATGTGTGTTTGTAGTGGTGTGTACTGGATGTAATGTATGTGTATTCATAGTGGTGTGTATTGGATGTAGTGTGTGTGTGCTTGTAGTGTTGTGTACTTGATGTAGTGGTGTGTACTGGATGTAGTATATGTGTATTTGTAGTGGTGTGTTACATAGGCGTGCGCACGGGGTGTGCCGGGTGTGCCTGGACACACCCTAATCCCCGCGGCACGCCTGTGTATATTGAGACCGGCAGGGGAGATCTCAGGATCTCCCCTGTCGGCTCATGCAGAGCCGGCGCTATCCGAGCGCCGGCTCTGCTCTCAGCCTCCCTCCCCACTGACCCACATGCAGGGAGGGAGGCAGGAGAGGACCCGGCGGAGCTCTTGCCGGCAGCTCCGCCGGGTTCCTCTCGCGAGATATGAGCGTTGCCACAGCAACGCTCAAATCTCGCGAGAGTGAACTCTAGCCCCACAGGTGGCTAGAGTTCACTCTCCACTGGACCACCAGGGATCACGGCAGCAAGGATCCCCTCCTCCACTGGACCACCAGGGAAGGAAGCAGCAGCACGATCCCCCCTCCCTACAAAAGGTAAGAAGGGAGGGGGGGATACCAAATAATGTACCCCCACAATCACCCACCCACACACATACAACACACATACAGCACCCACACACATTCAGCACCCACAGACATACACAGCACCCACACACATACAGCACCCACACACATTCAGCACCCACAGACATACACATCACCCACACACATACAGCACCCATACACAGCACCCACAGACATACAGCACCCACAGACATACACAGTACCCACACCCATACAGCACCCACAAACATACAGCACCCACACACATACAGCACACACACACACAGCACACACACATACAGCACCCACACACATTCAGCACCCACAGACATACACAGCACCCACACACATTCAGCACCCACAGACATACACAGCACCCACACACATTCAGCACCCACACACATTCAGCACCCACAGACATACACAGCACCCACAGACATACACAGCAACCACACACACAGCACCCACAGACATACACAGCACCCACAGACATACAGCACCCACAGACATACAGCACCCACACACATACAGCACCCACAGACATACACAGCACCCACAGACATACACAGAACCCACAGACATCCAGCACCCACAGACATACACAGCACCCACAGACATACACAGCACCCACACACATACAGCACCCACAGACATACACAGCACCCACACACATTCAGCACCCACATACATTCAGCACCCACAGACATACAGCACCCACAAACATACACAGACATACACAGCACGCACCCATACACAGCACCAACAGACATACACAGCACCCACACACATACAGCACCCACAGACACACACAGCACTCACAGACATACACAGCACCCACACACATACAGCACCCACAGACATACACAGCACCAACACACATACAGCACCCACACACACATACAGTACCCTCACAAACACACACAGCACCCTCACACACAGCACACAAACAGCACCCTCACACACACACAGCACACTAACAGTACCCTCACAAACACAAACAGGACCCTAACAAACACACACACAGCACACTACCAGTACCCTCACACACAAACAGCACCCTCACACACAGTACATTAACAGCACCCTCACAAGCGCACACACACACACACAAACAGCACCCTCACACACAGTACATTAACAGCATCCTCACAAGCACGCACACACAAACACCCTCACCCACATAGCACACTACCAGCATCGTCACACACACATCACACTAACAGCACCCTCACACAGCACACACACACACACAGCAGTGTGTGTATGTGTGTATATACGTGTATATATATATATATATATACATACATACATATATATATGCAGCATGTGCTTGTGCTTTAGGGTGCACACCCTGATGCAATAGGCTGCACACGCCTATGTGTGTACAGGAGGTAGTGTTTGTGTGCTTGTACTGGTGTGTACTGGATGTAGTGTATGTGTATGTGTAGTGGTGTGTACAGGATGTAGTGTTTGTGTGCTTGCAGTGATGTGTGCTGGATGTAGTGTTTGTGTGTTTGTAGTGGTGCCTACTGGATGTAGTGTATGTGTGTTTGTGGGCTGTGGGGAGGGATGTCATTTTTGTATAATGTATAATAAAATGTATTCCCCCCTCCCTGCCTCTTACCTGTGGGCAGGAATGGGGGACACGAGATTTCCTGGTGATCCAGTGGCACAGGAAGGTTTCTTGTGAAGAGGGGTCCCAGAGATCTGATTCTCCATCTCCTGGCTGCAGTATTCAGTCCTTTCCTCTCGCAAGCCGTGAGAGCAGTAACGCTCCGGCATGATCTGCGTGCTGCGCGGAACGTTGCCATGGCAACCCGTGGCAACGCTCCAATGGCTCGGCAGAGTGAATGGCCTGAATGCTGCAACCAGGAGATCGAGAGTCAGATCTGTATATATATATAGAGAGAGAGAGAGAGAGAGAGAGAGAGAGAAAGAGAGAATAAAATGAATCACGATGCACTCTCTGGTCTTGTAAATTCAGACAAAAGTGTATTTTCAAATATTACATGCTGTGCAAATCAAATCAAAGTTTCGACCCCTCCTGGGTCTTTTCATTTTATTCTCTATATACCTAATGCCTACGATCTGCACCCAGGCAAGTACTATTGATTTTTCCACTAAAGGTGGTGTGCCAAGCTACAAATTTTTAATTCACACATATATAGCGTTACTCGATATACACTGCTCAAAAAAATAATAGGAACACTTAAAAGAACATTATAGTCCCCTAAATTACTGTAGCTAAACAAAGCAGTTTTAGTGTATAGATCATTCCCCTGAAATTTTACTGCTCAATTCACTGTCATTTAGGAGTTAAATCACTTTGTTTCTGTTTATGCAGCCCTAGCCACACCTCCCCTGGCTATGATTGACAGAGCCTGCATGAAAAAAAAACTGGTTTCACTTTCAAACAGATGTAATTTACCTTAAATAATTGTATCTCAATCTCTAAATTGAACTTTAATCACATACAGGAGGCTCTTGCAGGGTCTAGCAAGCTATTAACATAGCAGGGGATAAGAAAATCTTAATTAAACAGAACTTGCAATAAAGAAAGCCTAAATAGGGCTCTCTTTACAGGAAGTGCTTATGGAAGGCTGTGCAAGTCACATGCAGGGAGGTGTGACTAGGGTTCATAAACAAAGGGATTTAACTCCTAAATGGCAGAGGATTGAGCAGTGAGGCTGCAGGGGCATGTTCTATACACCAAAACTGCTTCATTAAGCTAAAGTTGTTCAGGTGACTATAGTGTCCCTTTAAACAACACAATGCAACTCCAAGTCAATCACACTTCTGTGAAATCAAACTGTCCACTTAGGAAGCAACACTGAGTGACAATCAATTTAACATGCTGTTGTGCAAATGGGATAGACAACAGGTGGAAATTATAGGCAATTAGCAAGACACCCCCAATAAAGGAGTGGTTCTGCAAGTGGTGACCACAGACCACTTCTCAGTTCCTATGCATCCTGGCTGATGTTTTGGTCACTTTTGAATGCTGGCGGTGCTTTCACTCTAGTGGTAGCATGAGACGGAGTCTACAACCCACACAAGTGGCTCAGGTAGTGCAGCTCATCCAGGATGGCACCTCAATGCGAGCTGTGGCAAGAAGGTTTGCTGTGTCTGTCAGCGTAGTGTCCAGAGCATGGAGGCGCTACCAGGAGACAGGCCAGTACATCAGGAGACGTGGAGGAGGCCGTAGGAGGGCAACAACCAAGCAGCAGGAGCGCTACCTCTGCCTTTGTGCAAGGAGGAACAGGAGGAGCACTGCCAGAGCCCTGCAAAATGACCTCCAGCAGGCCACAAATGTGCATGTGTCTGCTCAAACGGTCAGAAACAGACTCCATGAAGGTGGTATGAGGGCCCAACCTACGCATGTGGGGTTGTGCTTACAGCCCAACACCGTGCAGGATGTTTGGCATTTGCCAGAGAACACCAAGAGTGGCAAATTTGCCACTGGCACCCTGTGCTCTTCACAGATGAAAGCAGGTTCACACTGAGCACATGTGACAGATGTGACAGAGTCTGGAGACGCCGTGGAGAACGTTCTGCTGCCTTAACATCTTCCAGCATGACCAGTTTGGCAGTGGGTCAGTAATGGTGTGGGGTGGCATTTCTTTGGGGGGCCGCACAGCCCTCCATGTGCTCGCCAGAGGTAGCCTGACTGCCATTAGGTACCGAGATGAGATCCTCAGACCCCTTGTGAGACCATATGATGGTGCGGTTGGCCCTGGGTTCCTCCTAATGCAAGATAATGCTAGACCTCATGTGGCTGGAGTATGTTACCAGTTCCTGCAAGACGAAGGCATTGATGCTATGGACTGGCCCACCCATTCCCCAGACCTGAATCCAATTGAGCACATCTTTGACATCATGTCTCGCTCCATCCACCAATGTCACGTTGCACCACAGACTGTCCAGGAGTTGGCAGAAGCTTTTGTCCAGGTCTGGGAGGAGATCCCTCAGGAGACCATCCACCACCTCATCAGGAGCATGCACAGGCGTTGTAGGGAGGTCATACGGGCATGTGGAGGCCACACACACTACTAAGCCTCATTTTGACTTGTTTTAAGGACGTTACATCAAAATTGGATCAGCCTGTAGTGTGTTTTTCCACTTTAATTTTGAGTGTGACTCCAAATCCAGACCTGCATGGGTTGAAAAGTTTGATTTCCATTTTTTTATTTTTGTGTGATTTTGTTGTCAGCACATTCAACTATGTAAAGAACAAAGTATTTCAGAAGAATATTTAATTCATTCAGATCTAGGATGTGTTATTTTTGTGTTCCTTTTATTTTTTTGAGCAGTGTGTATATATATATATATGCAAATGGGCAGCACAGCACATTTGTTAAAGGTACAGGGGCGGCATTATCTCAAAGTGCTGCCTGGAGCCATTGTCCCATGGGGACCAATGGTCGGGCCAACCCTGCACACAGATATACACACTCAGATACACACTGACACACATGCAGATACACAGACAACACAGACACACACACTGACAGACATACAGATACACACACAGACACACATGACACACATGCTCGTGGTCAAAATGTGCACTTTTTTAGCCACCATCCAGTTTCTTACCTTTTGAGTGCAGGATGGTGGCTTCTTTGGGGTCCATAATGCAGACTGAGGCTGTTGGGAGTTATGGGCTGGCTCTTTCGTCTGCACCTACTCCTTACTGTCTTCTTCTGCTCTTTCCCGCGTGGCTCAACATCTCTATTGCAGGAAGTGACAGGCTCTCACTTTCTTCCATTCTGTCATTTATGGAGCACCGTTAAAGGCATGGGCCACCCAAAGCCAATGCCTAATGGGACCCTTTAGTGATGGGCCCCGGTTACAACTGTACTGACTGCACTGGCGGTACTTCAGCCATTGTACTTATAGCTTATTGAGCCTACTCTCATTCATGAGAGTGGCTTATAGCAGTATATAATAGAGGTCTCATTGTAATGTGTCAGGGGGTCTCACAGCAGCTGCAAGGAAATTTACCATACAATGCACCAAAGGATACTTTGCAGGTATGTGACTTAATTTTTAAATTTTTTACTTTTATTTATTTTTCATTTAAATGTTTGTACTTATTTCTAATGTGTTATCTGTATGATGCATTATAATATAGCTATAACTGAATTTTCCCAATTTAGCTATTTATAATTATAACATTGTAAATTCATTATGGATTCTCTTTGGAATCTCAGTCATTCACACTTTAGGGACTATCCCGGTCTGTCTCAGAGCCTTTTGTATCTAGCTTCTGTAGATCAATAGAATCATATTTTAAATTCATCCAATCGAAAGGACACTGAATCATCATCCACTTTGCACTAATAATTCTACTGCCAAACATCACCATCTTCAGTGCCCTCTACCTCCTCCTTGGACTCCCTCTTTGATTTTCTTCTTAAGTTATGGCTTTAACCCTGGCTCATGTCACAGAGATAGAAATGAGGAAACTATGTTTCTTGGAAACCTTCGTAACTACCATGATAGCTGATACCATCCTGGCCTGCTGAGTGACACATACCACACACGTTCCAAGCTGTAAAATGCATATGTTTCAAACCTAACTGGCCAATCGATATGCTCAGTCACTACATGTACCAAGCTGTTGGATTTATTATTACAGTGTGGATCAAAACATGTTGTTTAGTTGGAATTAATGTCTGTAGTCAACATAAAACTTTACCCGATGAATATCCTGAACACTCCAGCCAACCAAGGACTTAATTTAATATTGTTGAATACTTTTTTAAATGATTTAATATTTTTGGATACATTTTTAAGACGATTTAATATTATAAAGCATGTTTAAATTTTGCGAAATTTTGATGTTTTTTAATATATTGATGTAATATATATATTGATATATATTTTTATAGATGATTTTTTTTATATTTTTTTTTTGAAGAAGGTTTTTTAAAGTTTAGTCAAAAATATGACATAATTTAAATACCTTATACAACAATATTAAATTTAGGCTCATTTGAGTAAAACTCAAACCCCAAAACTCCAAACTCCAACCAATCATTAAGCAGCTCATCTCAACCATTTAATCTTCCAGCCATTCTAAACCAATGAGTCTCCCTCCTTGACACATACAACCAATCAAAATTCCACATTCCCTTAACCCACTGCTCGTCCACATATTTTATTGAAAAATTGAACAAATCTCTATCTGGCACTGGGCAATAACCTAAAGTTCTCCATTATTCCTGCATGCTCCATCCTGCACTCTCCCAATAATCTCTCCTTCCACCAACCACACTCATCTCATCTCACTTGCCCAGGGCCTGGTTTGCCAGACAGGGCCACCAGCTCGTCTATTAAAATGTGTGTATTTTTGTATGTATTTTACAAGAGCTGTCATTTTGGATTTTTTATTTTAATATTATGTTTACTCATACCATATATTTAGCAATACTTTGTTTTTTTGAAAGCTGAAATTTTTTTTAAAGGGATACTCTAAGCACCAAAACAACTTTACTTTAATGAAGCCGTTTTGATGTGTAGATTATGCCCCTGCAGTATCACTGCTCAATTCTCTGCCATTTAGGAGTTAAATCACTTTTGTTTCTATTTAGGCAGCCCTAACCACACCTCCCTTGGCAGTAACTCACACAGTTTCCATAACAAAAGATCTACTTTTCAATCAGATCCTACAGTGTGTGTACTTTAGAAGTTTTTATCTCCTGCTCTGGTAATTGAACTTTAATCACATACAGGAGGCTCCTGCAAGTTCTAGCATTTACCTCCTAAATGGCAGAGAATTAAGCAGTACAAATCCACACTGCTGTATATACCTTTATGCTGGAATGGGGAGCTTTCATCTTGACTGCTGATGCCTTCGATCACCAAATCCCGTTACCATTCCTTTCCCAATAAGTAACTCAACACCATGTTAAGTGGGTAAGGGCAACGGTCACAGCTTTATTTAAACCAGCACAACCAAATACTGTCAGCTGCTGGTTTTACCCAGCAGACAGGTACACTTTAAACTTCTCCCAGAGCCACTTCAGCTTGTCCTTCATCATCAATCAAATTCAGGCTGCGACTCCCCAAGCCCGTCCAGGCATTATTCATTTACCAGACTTGCTGGCGCAGTAAACCCGAGGTTGTGACAAAATGAAAAACAGAGAAAGCACAACACAACACAAACAATTCCAGAACAGAACTGTAGCGGTCCATGGGTTACCCGACTGGTTAACTCTGCTAATTCCTTCATTCAGACGCTGAGGAACCACTTATAGTAATATAAAGAGACCCATTTCCCCACCATAACTGGACGACACACAGTTCTGGAGGTACAACACAATTTTATTGAGCCACACATGTGGAACAAGTGGTTGTTACTTCTTTGGCAACAATTTATGTCCAAGGTGCTACTCCACTTCTCCTGATTCTAAATTAACTGTGCGTAGCTAAATTTCCTTGGAATCAGGAGAAGTGGAGTAGCACCTTGGACATACATTGTTGCCAAAGAAGTAACAACAACTTGTTACACTTGACTGCCCCTTACAAATTGCTTTTATACAGTTTTGACCATCCAATCATAAGGGGCTTTTATGTTTACTATTATAGTATTTAATATTTAATTGCCTCCTAAGTTATTCAGTGTATTATCTCAATACATTAACAAAGTTTTGTCATTAATCGCTTTAAATAACCTTTCCTCTTATCCAGTTTACCGAGCCACTCAGGGTAAACTGGTATAGAGGTTTAGGTTCCACCTCCCCCCTCTCTAATTGGCAAGATTATTTGCCAATTACAGGAGAGAGTGGGATATTTAAACGACCCTTGACTCTACGTTCGGTTCCCCTGGAAGAGCCGACTTTTGGCGAAACGCGCGTCAGGACTAGTCACAGTGAAGGGTGGTGGAGTGAGACAGGGACGATGCTGCAGCTTTGATGATTATTTAGCTCAGATCTAGCCACCCTTTACTTTTATCTTCACAACACAGTGTATTAGATGTTTAGTTAGAATTCAAATCTAACGCTAGCAAGTAGTCTAGTATAGAAGAGCTGAGGGCACTTTATTATCATTTCGTGACTGGACGATAGGAGCAGGGATAGAACGCTGGGCTATTGAGTACAGTCTATACCTTAACCCTCCTATCCCTGTATCACCGGTGCCACTAATAGACAAATGTGACACCTTTGAATTTATACCTATATCATGCCTTCCTTTTCCTCCTACTAGTCAATATTAACTCTAGATATTACACTATATACATAGCAATTGTGCTTGTTTCTCTTTATATATATATATATTTTTTTTTTTTTTTAAATTCTTTATTTTGGTGTGCATAGAAATTACAAACCTGCCGTTACTGCCACGACAGCAGTTCTGGGGTAGTAAACATAAGTTACAACTGCACAATTTTTATATATAACATACAAGCTTGGTTACAGGCGAAGTATTAGCTATGTTAGTGAAGAGGTAACATAGAACGTAGAAGAGTAAACAAGAACAGGTATGCAATCTGACATTAAAATAAAATGAGATGATTGTAGACATGTACATGCTCAGGTGTCTGAGGTAATGATATTTGCCCTGATTCTTGCTAGTGTCACGTCCTAGGCCCTTACAGGGAGTGCAGAATTATTAGGCAAATGAGTATTTTGACCACATCATCCTCTTTATGCATGTTGTCTTACTCCAAGCTGTATAGGCTCGAAAGCCTACTACCAATTAAGCATAATAGGTGATGTGCATCTCTGTAATGAGAAGGGGTGTGGTCTAATGGCATCAACACCCTATATCAGGTGTGCATAATTATTAGGCAACTTCCTTTCCTTTGGCAAAATGGGTCAAAAGAAGGACTTGACAGGCTCAGAAAAGTCAAAAATAGTGAGATATATTGCAGAGGGATGCAGCACTCTTAAAATTGCAAAGCTTCTGAAGCGTGATCATCGAACAATCAAGCGTTTCATTCAAAATAGTCAACAGGGTCGCAAGAAGCGTGTGGAAAAACCAAGGCGCAAAATAACTGCCCATGAACTGAGAAAAGTCAAGCGTGCAGCTGCCACGATGCCACTTGCCACCAGTTTGGCCATATTTCAGAGCTGCAACATCACTGGAGTGCCCAAAAGCACAAGGTGTGCAATACTCAGAGACATGGCCAAGATAAGAAAGGCTGAAAGACGACCACCACTGAACAAGACACACAAGCTGAAACGTCAAGACTGGGCCAAGAAATATCTCAAGACTGATTTTTCTAAGGTTTTATGGACTGATGAAATGAGAGTGAGTCTTGATGGGCCAGATGGATGGGCCCGTGGCTGGATTGGTAAAGGGCAGAGAGCTCCAGTCCGACTCAGACGCCAGCAAGGTGGAGGTGGAGTACTGGTTTGGGCTGGTATCATCAAAGATGAGCTTGTGGGGCCTTTTCGGGTTGAGGATGGAGTCAAGCTCAACTCCCAGTCCTACTGCCAGTTCCTGGAAGACACCTTCTTCAAGCAGTGGTACAGGAAGAAGTCTGCATCCTTCAAGAAAAACATGATTTTAATGCAGGACAATGCTCCATCACACGCGTCCAAGTACTCCACAGCGTGGCTGGCAAGAAAGGGTATAAAAGAAGAAAATCTAATGACATGGCCTCCTTGTTCACCTGATCTGAACCCCATTGAGAACCTGTGGTCCATCATCAAATGTGAGATTTACAAGGAGGGAAAACAGTACACCTCTCTGAACAGTGTCTGGGAGGCTGTGGTTGCTGCTGCACGCAATGTTGATGGTGAACAGATCAAAACACTGACAGAATCCATGGATGGCAGGCTTTTGAGTGTCCTTGCAAAGAAAGGTGGCTATATTGGTCACTGATTTGTTTTTGTTTTGTTTTTGAATGTCAGAAATGTATATTTGTGAATGTTGAGATGTTATATTGGTTTCACTGGTAATAATAAATAATTGAAATGGGTATATATTTGTTTTTTGTTAAGTTGCCTAATAATTATGCACAGTAATAGTCACCTGCACACACAGATATCCCCCTAACATAGCTAAAACTAAAAACAAACTAAAAACTACTTCCAAAAATATTCAGCTTTGATATTAATGAGTTTTTTGGGTTCATTGAGAACATGGTTGTTGTTCAATAATAAAATTAATCCTCAAAAATACAACTTGCCTAATAATTCTGCACTCCCTGTAGTCTCGCTATAAGTTTAGGTCAAGTAGGAGCATGAATAAAACCAGAAGTAATGCAAGGTAAACTGTGGTACAGTTGATTGAGCGTAAACAGGCTGAAATCTATTAGCTAGCCTCTGCTTTGTATATTCCACTGGGACTTCCCTGCCCCTTACTGCTAACAGCTATACGTGTGCTGGCAGGTAGGTAGGTTAGGTTTTTTTTTTTTTTAAAAGACATAGAACAGGTTCATGTGGTCTTAGGTCACGTCCTCGAGGACATCAGTGGCCCTCAGATTCAGCAGCTCGGTTAGGTACATGCAAGTAGTACGAAGTAACTTTAACACTGAGTAAAACATGCTAGGTTTAACGTTTGTGTGAGAGTATATAACGTTCCCTCATTCAGAGCTTTACACATAAAACATATAATAAGGTATACGTGCTGAACTACAATAGCAGGTATAATAAGCGTGTTATCCCATATAGATGGACAGTGCACCTTTTAGTGTATCATACTAGGAGAAATAGACAGTTAAGAGAAAAGACATAGTATTAGGGACAGGTTTATCTTACAATCCAAGATGCCGATATTAGTTACTGTCCAATATATATGGTGCTAGCTGTAGAGAGAAATGCCTCACTGGGAGAGTCAAAAACATAAACACAAACTTGGAGGGTATATATATCACTGAGTCCCCGCATATCCATGCATGTCGCTTAAGGTAGGTCTTGCACCATTTATATCCACTGGTTAGTGGCACAGTAGTCCAGGCAGTTGACGGTGGCCTCATGGATAGCAGCTTAGTGTGGCTGGGGACCAGTCCTGTGGCGTGATTCTTGTGTCAGCCGATGCCGGCGCTCGGAGGGCTGTTGAAGCTGTTGCGGTGCGGTGGAATGCTATAATGTTGCCAGCCACTCTGGACGACGCTGGAGGTCTTTGCTGTGGCGAGATCAGGGTCCCATTCTGGTAGAGCGGATCTGTTAGCGTGAGGAATTCTGTGTAAGGCGACGTACCGCAGGTGGTTATGTTGCCTCCAGGGTATGCCCGGGCGAGGGTCTGCCTCATGATGGCGTCGGTTGAGGGGTTGCGGTGTGGTCCGCTTGTGGTCCCTCGGCCGTGTCTGGCCCTTGATTGGCCCTGCTTGCCGCGGTTGTCGCTCAGGTAGGTTTAAGTTCTCTGGACACTTGTGTGGATGGGTTGCCGCCAATGGCGGTGTTAGTTGCTTGGGCTTTCGGGTTCTTTTAGTGTGCCGTCCCCGCGGCCGTTTGCAGGCCCCGATTGCAGGAGGAGGCATGCGCTTGTGCCGGGGGTTCGCCGGCTCCATAGTAGCGATGTTGTGTGCCTTGGCCCTCTGCTCCCGGATAGCTATTGTCCTCCAGAACCTAGCGAATAGTTCATCCAGCCGGGCACTGAGGTCAGTTTGCTCCATGCCCTGAGCACACGTGGTGGCGGCCATGTTGCCTGGTTGCGCTGCTTCTCGCTGGCCGTTGGTTTCTACCCGTGGGGCCCGGGCAGGGAGTTTGCCCTCAGGGTTGGACCGGGATGACCCCCGCCGGTCCAGGGGGGGGGAGTAGGGCTTTTGTGGGTCCGTACCTCTGATGTTTAGGCGAGAAGAGCGGCCGTCTCTCCCCGATTTCACCACCAGTAGGCCGCGGCTGTCCATCTTGGGCTCCCGGTCACCAAAGCGTTCAATTCAGATATCGGGATGATCACCAGGTCACTCCTGAAGTAGGCAGTGCACCCCGGTTTGCTTAGTTTTTCGAGTTTGGCGAATATCTGCATGAAATTGGCAAGTAAGGCCTCTCTTTATATATTTTTATAACCATTTATTATTAAAAGTTATATTTTATTGGGTTAGGGGTTGCTTTAGTTATACTAGAAACCCGTAGGTGTACTACTTAGACTCTATGTACCCTCTGGGCTTTCCTGTAATTTCTTTGCTTTTTCAATTGTTATTTGCTAGGGGTTACCCCCCATCTTCTCAAAGCAACCTGACACATTCTCTCTACCTTTTTCATATACAAACATGTTCTACTTGAATGTTCTACCAGCGTTCTAAATGGGATATCGGGGTGGTCCCCGTTCAGTAGTTGAAGGAGTTCTTTTCGTAGGAGCGCTCCCGAACGGGGAGCGGGTACAATAGAAGAAGGGCAAGGGAAAGATACATAGTATAAGTATAAAGTACCCAAACAAGCGGTGGTTCCACCAGAAGAACCATTGGGGAGGGTGGGTGGGGAAAGATACTGCCAGGCTCCCTCAGCATTGTTCACCAGTAGTTTGGTAATTTTCCCAGAATTCCCTGCTTCCAACTGTAAACCAACAATATCCATTTGGTTGCTATGCAGTCATCCTCCCCCTTACCTATTCACTCCGGGGGGTATGCCTTGCTCCCTGTCAGCGATCTTCATAAACGTTACTGTTTTCTGCCATTAAACAATGTTTCTGTTTTCCTCCTTATTTGCATAGTTTGCTCTGGCTGTGCCTAAACTGAACTGGATTGTGATATTACGTCTTCCAAATCTTTAATACACAGTTAAAAAAACAGAACATCACATGCAAAAAAAAAAGTTAAGACATATACAGATTGTACACAACATTTACAAGCTGACCACAGCATTCAGAAACAACACATCACATTAACACAGCGTTTACATACAGCATGAACTATTTCCTCATTGCACAAAGCATTCACACATTACGCGCATCAATCACATATTGCAGATATCATTTACAGATTCTTATATATCACACGCTCATGTCACTAAGAATTCACACAGTGCCCACAGGATTCATACGCATTAATACAATTCGGTATTCTTTTTTTTATTTATTTGTTTTTATAGTTTTTCAATTTGGTAGTTTCAGAAAATCCATGTTTTTCAACACCCTCAGCCAAATGCTTTCACTTATTTCTTAAATGAACACTCCAAGCACCATAACCACTCCAGGGGGCAGTAGTGATTTTGTTGTCAGTAGCACCCCCTCTTTCCCCCCAACACCAAACCATTTTAGAATGGATTAACGTCTTACCAGGAGTCCACTGGACACCACAATTCACCTCCACTACTTTAGACAGAGAGCTAGAAGCTCTTTGTCTGTGCGAAGCCAGGCTTAACTCAGACATGCTTTCTCCCTTATACATATAATACACCACCATAAACATAATATTATAATCATACACCCCATTTACATAAAATTATATGATTACATGCCCATATAGATAATATTATAATCTTACACCCCATATAAATAATAATATATATACATAATAATCATAATAATAATCATACACCCTATCAGCGGTGGAACTACCTGTGCGCACACATAGGGGAGTGGGGGCAGCAGGTGGCCCATGGACTTAAGGCCATTCTACGGCATTTTTGAACAGTGTACCTATCGGGCGCCTTTAACAGCGAGACCCACACGAAATGCAGAGAGGAGCAGGCAGCACAGGTAGGAGGAGGAGGAGGAAGAACAGAGAGGGACCCTGTTACGGTACCTTCAGCATAAAATGTACAAACCGCCGTTTAGTGAATGCTCCCCGTTCGCAATAATGTTGGTTGTAAGCATATCCAATACAACCATGCGAACCGCCAGCAAGGGAACACTCCAAACTTCCGAACGGTATCCGTACGGTCACTTCCTTCCACGAGCCTCAAGCTCACGAACCGCCAATATCAGCCGAACACCGGTATCTCCCAAGCGGCTGATAATTCCAAATAGCAGTCTCTAGTCGCCGGTAATAAAATCCCCCCAATAACAAGACCAAGCTCCGCATTGAAGGTAAAACACGAACTGAGTTTACTGTGGGCTACCCGCCCGTATTTATGCAGGTCTCCCACTTGGTGGACACTCCCCTAGGGGACCAAATGGGAGACTGGAGTAGCAGATGGACATATGGCATTTCAGGACATACAGTCACACAATATTCCCAGCATACATCACAGTTTCCTCCCCTTTGCCCGGGAGATAATTGAGAAGTAATTCAATTATCTCCCAGAGCAGAGGCAAATCGCCATTTTAAATACAAATCATAAAACACATAAAAATATATAACTTTATAACTGCCGAACGTTTCTCATTCGTGTAACACATCCCCAGACAGCCTGGATCTGAGTGCATATTATTGGCAAATAGCGCTCAGATCCCATACGCATAGTTCAATCGCCATGGAGTCAAAGTCTATTACAGTTCTTCGGTATGCGATTGACTCCGTGGGAAGGCTATCTGGGTTAAGTCCATTCGTGCCTTTAATTCTCCAGAACGGCCAGTGTTCGCACACTTCTGTCGATTGGAGAAGGGAGGTCGACGGCATCAGTGGTGTTCGGTTGAAAAAGTGTCCGTTTTCGGTTCCATGAATTTAGTACCGAACACCGCTGGTCTTTCGTATGGTTTAAAATGGCCGCCGCCTCGTGGTCGACATACGAACGACGACCACCCTGTATTTGGTTTTAATTGAGAAGTGTCTGTGGTTAACCGCAACGTTCTAATTGGGATCATTAGGTTAACCAGCAGCACACTTCTCTTCTGGGTGGCCGTCCGTTCGACAGTTTTGTTCGGTAAAAAAAGTAAATTCACTTAAATCCAGGCACACGAATGGGGGAGTTCGTGAAACAAGCAAACAGACGAACCCAGCAATCTTAGTTCATACAGACCCAATTCCAGCCCCACACTCTCATCAGTCGAAGACAGCAACAGGACTCCAGGGAAGCCACCCCTGCAGATAAAAAGGTATGTTAACAGGGGGGTGACTAAAAATACAATAATTATGTGTGTATCTGCCTAGGCGTGCGCACGGGGTGTGCCGGGTGTGCCTGGGCACACCCTAATCCCCGCGGCACGCCTATGTATATTGAGACCGGGAGGGGAGATCTCAGGATCCCCCCTGTCGGCTCATGCAGAGCCAGCGCTATCCGAGCGCCGGCTCTGCTCTCAGCCTCCCTCCCCACTGACCCACATGCAGGGAGGGAGGCAGGAGAGCAATAGCTCCGCCGGGTTCCTCTCGCGAGATATGAGCACTGCCACGGCAACGCTCAAATCTCGCGATGGTGAACTCTAGCCCCACAGGGGCTAGAGTTCACTCTCCACTGGACCACCAGGGATGGAATCAGCATCACCAAGGATCCCCCCTCCCTACAAAAGGTAAGAAGGGAGGGGGGATAGCAAGTAATGTACCCCCACCTCCACCCCCACAATCACCCACACACATACAGCACACACACATACACAGCACCAACACACATACAACACCCACAGACATACACAGCACCTACACGCATACAGCACACACACACATACAGCACCCACAGACATACACAGCACCTACACACATACAACACCTACACACATACAGCACCCACACACATACAGCACCCACAGACATACACAGCACCCACAGACATACACAGCACCTACACACATACAGCACACACATACAGCACCCACAGGCATACACAGCACCCACAGACATACACAGCACCCACACACATACAGCACCCACACACATACAGCACCCACAGACATACACAGCACCTACATACATACAGCACTCACACATATACAGCACCCACACACATACACAGCACCCACACACATACAGCACCCAGAGAAATACACAGCACCTATACACATACTGCACACACACACATACACAGCACCAACACACACACACAACACCCACAGACATACACAGCACCAACACACATACAACACCCACACACACATACAGCACCCTCACAAACACACACAGCACCCTCACACACAGCACACAAACAGCACCCTCACACACACACAGCACACTAACAGTACCCACACAAACAGGACCCTAACAAACACACACAGCACCTACACACATACAGCACCCACAGACATACACAGCACCCACACACATACAGCGCCCACACACATACAACACCCACACACATACAGCACCCACACACATACACAGCACCTAAACACATACACAGCACCAACACACATACACAGCACCCACACACATACACAGCACCAACACACATACACAGCACCCACAGACATACACAGCACCAACACACATACAGCACCCTCACACACAGCACACAAACAGCACCCTCACACACACACACAGGACCCTAACAAACACACACACACAGCACAATACCAGTACCCTCACACACAAACAGCACCCTCACACACAGTACATTAACAGCACCCTCACAAGCACGCACACACACACAAACACCCTCACCCACATAGCACACTACCAGCACCGTCACACACACATCACACTAACAGCACCCTCACACAGCACACACACACACAGCAGTGTGTGTATGTGTGTATATATGTGTATGTGTATGTGTGCGTGTGTATATATATATATATATATATATACACACACACACATATATATATATATATATATATATATATACACACACACACATATATATATATATATATATATATATACATACATATATATATGCGGCGTGTGCTTGTGCTTTAGGGTGCACACCCTAATGCAATAGGCTGCACACGCCTATGTGTATCTGTATGAATCTATGTTTGTTTCAGTGTGTTTATATGTTTGTATGTGTGTGTATCTGTGTAAGTATGCATGTGGTATTGTTTGTGTATATGTGCATCCCAGCAGGGCCAACCTTAGGCCAATAGGCGCCCTGTGCGAAGAATCCTCACACACACTCTCCC